TTCCTTCTAACTCCATTCTTTCCCTACAGCTTACATACCACAACAAAATCTTTCAGGCAATATAAAAATTGCAATGTGGCTACTTTCTGTTTTTCAAGTGGATGATTACAATGAATACAAGTAAACATCATGTTTTCCATATCCCTTACATGATTAAACATTTTACATATTACAAGTGAAAAATTATTCCCAGGAATTCAAATACATTCATACCCAAGCAACTTGTTATAGATTAACAGAGTGTAAGCAAGCAAGACATTCTGCTCAATTCTTTTACTGGCAGGCTTCGCTGTGTGTTTACAAAGAAAGGTGCTATCACTCTCTTATCTCGAAAGGTAATCTTACAAGGAATCTTAAAGGAATCACAAACCTAAACTTCAAACCTGAAAACCAATCCGTCAGCTCTACTTTAAGTCTTTAGGGTGCATATCCACTCATCAATAGTGTTTCATATCAGGAGACTGAGGGCAGGACTGGGTATAAGGAATTGATCAGCATCTTTGGTCATCAACCCATCCCAGCAAGAAGGGCGTATCAGCTATTGATAACTGGGCTGCTTAGTTCTTGGTCCCTGACCTGAAAGAGTCCCTCATTCAACTATGCGCCTTTCTAAAACTTTTAACAAAAGCATCTTAATCTACATTATCTTCAAAGCTTTGCTTCTGCTATGATGCACCTGTGAACACATCTCCCAACATTGAAAGAATTTAAGCTAGTCAAGTTACTGGAACTCAATTGTTTTTCTTAATCATTAACCTGAACTGAGTTCTGTGCACCTCCTTAGGTGAAACTCATAAGCCCTAACCGTGGGACATTTCCTTGTTTTATTTTTAATCATCAAAACTCTACTTAAACTATTACTATCATCAATTAGTTCAGCTTAAGAAAAAGTCATCTTCATAATAATCCACAGGTAAAAATGCCCAGTGGAATGGAATGTTTCCATGAAAAGAAAACACTACATTACAGGCAATGGGGATCTCCCCACACCTTCACCCCATGCCAGATCCCAGAGAAAGATGGCAGTGGCCAACATGAGAAGGCACAGCAGAAGCAAAAGATATTGTGGAGTCTGTGGTCTCAGGGCCTTATCTGAGAGTCACCCTTCAGGGATTCATCTCCTGATGAGCTGACACCTTGAACTTCAATTGCCGTCTGCTCCTCTGACATGACCACCAGATACTGATACCAGATGCCACACATTGATACCAGATTGCAAAAAAAAAAAAAAAAATTGTCACTTAATAACCCCAAACTCAACCAACAGAAGTGAGAACTGCACTTCTTCAAATCCAGACAGAGGTTGGAGAGGAATGAGTGTTTCTGATAAGAGGGTTCCAGAACCAAGGGACACTTTCTCCAGACAGCACTCCAGCATAGCACCAAGTAGGCTGGGAATAAACCTGCCTCAGCCTCTGGCAATTCCAACAGACCAGACTGGAGCTGGGATATGCTTTTGTTAGCAGTGAAATGGATGGTGGTGGTGAATTTAGAGTAGTCTGTGTTTGTGAATCCTGTGTGTGAGCGGTTTTGATTTTTACATAGAACAACCAGGTACAGATCTGCAGAACCAGCAGGATAGAGCTGTATGGTCTTGATTATCAGTCAGGACCACAGGGTTAAAGATGAATGGGAATGTAGGGATGGTGTTGTTCTTTTGTTACAGTTATAACCCCGCCTCCCGTCTTCTGTTCCCGGTGCCTCTGTGTCTCTTCCCTTCCCACTCACTCCCCTTTCTAAATAAACTCCTCATTTAAGCTCTATCTGCCTGGTGTGTTATTCCTCCCTCCTCAGTCACCCTCACCTGCTATGCTCATCCACGTGGTCCCTTACCTTGGGACTCCACTCACTTGGAACTGGAGTTACCTGTGGTTGTGAGCTGCCACACGGATGCTGGACCAAACCACCAAGCCAAAGATGCCAAAAATATGCAGAAATGACAGCATCATCAACAAATATTACAGAGAAACTAGCAGCTACATGTAGAAGAATGAAAGTAGATCCTCTTACCATGTACAAAAATCAATCCCAGATATATCAAATACCTTAACACAAAACCTGAAATGTACAACTAACTATAGGAAAGGGTGGGAGTATATGCAAGACATGAGCATGGGCAAGGGCTCCACAACACGGTTAGCAGCTAGGGAAATAAGGCAAAGTGGGACCTCATGAAACTACACACAGTAGATGTGGCTTTCGCCTGGGTGTTATGAAATGACATACACATGAAATTCTATTCAGTACTAAAAGAAATCAGGCACTCTGCAAGAAAGTTGATGGGACTGGAAAATACTGTGTCAAGCGAGTAATAACCCAAGCCCCGAAAGACAAACCCTGCATATGTAGACCCTCAATTCAAACTTAAGATTCTATGTTAAGTCTGTTCTAGTTGTCTTCTCTGTTGCTGTGATAAAACACTGACCGAAAGGGGAGGGATGGGTTTGTTTGGCTCACAGGTCCTAATCTCAGCTCATTACTGAGGGAAGCCAAGGCAGGAACTGAACCAGAGCCATGGATGCTCTCTGCTTACTGGCTTGCTCCTTATGGCCTGCTCAGTCCACTTTTTATACGACTCAAGACCCATCTGCCCAGAGGGACACTGCCCACTGTGGGGCAGTGTCTGAGCCTGCTCCAGTGAGTCAGTGGGGTCCCTGAGTAGCGGCCTGAGGACTGAGAAATGGCAGATACTGGACCACCCTCTGAAATCTATCCTGTTTCTGTCTATTTCTTCACCTGCCATGTCTCAATCCTCACGCCCCTGCTCAGGGAACCCAGCTGACTCTTTGGAGCAGGCTCCGGGACAGCTGGGCCCTCCACATCAGGGAGGAGGAGACACTGGATCCCTGAGGCTTGTTGGTTAGCTAGCCTAGCTGATCGATCAATGAGAGACCTTGTTTCAAAAGTAAGGTGGAGGGGCTAGGAAGATGGTTCAGTGGTTAAGAGCACCTGCTGTTCTTACAGGGGACCCAAAAATCAATGCCCAGCATCATCATTAGGCAGCTCACATCTGCCTATAGGCTACACACCCTCTTCTGACCTCCAGAGGTATCCTGGAGAGAGAGAGAGAGAGAGAGAGAGAGAGAGAGAGAGAGAGAGAGAGAGAGAGTGTGTGTGTGTGTGTGTGTGTGCGTGCGTGCACATGCACATGCACACACAGGCTGGCCTCCACACACAGATGCCCACATGTGCACATGTACCATGAACACCTATACCTCCCTTCAGGCATACACCTTCTCAAAGAAAGTATGATGGCAAAGTACCACAGCATTGTTCTAGGCAATAACTTTTTAAAAATGTGATTCCAAAAACTCAGGCAGCAAAATTAATGCAATAGATAATAGATAAACTGAATGGCATATGAAGAAAACTAAAGAGTGGAGGGAAGACCCATAGTATGCAAGAAAATATTTGCAATCCAGATATTTGATAAGGGTTAATATACAAAATATGTAAGAAAACAACTCAAGCAAGAAACACTAATTTAAAAAGCAAGTAAAGGACGCAAGTAGATATTTCCCAAAAGACAGGGTTGTAAGGATTACACAGAAATTTGAACAGTGTCTGGTACTGTTCAAATTAGGTAAGCATAAAATGAGAAGCCTGGGGGTTAAGCTCATCAATGAGGGGCTGGAGAAATGGTTAGCAATAAGAACACTGGTCACTCTGGTTGCTCTTCCAAAAGACCTTGGTTTAATTTCCAGCACCCACATGGCAGTTCAAAACTGTAATTCCAGTTCCAAGGGAGATGGCTCTCTCAAACAAACATGCAAGCAAAACCCCAATGTACATTAAAAAAAATTCCTGATCAGAAACAAATATGAGAAATTAAAAAACTAAGATCTAGGAGCTGGGCGTTGGTGTACGCCTTTAAGCTCAGGAGGCAGAGGCAGGTGGATCTCTGTGAGTTCAAGGCCAGCCTGGTCTACAGAGCTAGTTCCAGGCTCCAAAGCAATACAGAGAAACCCTGTCTCAAACCCCCCCCTCCCCACAAAACACACACACACACACTAAGATCTAGGATGCAGCATCTTTAAAACTCACATTCATTAGCATCTCCATCTGATGGGAGAAAGAAGCCACTGTGAACCCCAGAGTGTGGAGAAAACAGCTGTGTGGAGAGGAAGGATAAATGGTATAAAGGAGACAGATGGCCTACAGAGGGGTAAGAAGCAAGCACTGGCCAGGTGGTGGTACACACCTTTAATCCCAGCACTCAGGAAGCAGAGACAGGAGGATCTCTGTGAGTTTGAGGCCAGCCTGGTCTACAGAGCGAGTTCAAGACAGGTTCCAAAGCCACAGAGAAACCCTGCCTGGGGGAGGGGGTGAGATGCAAGCACTATGCAAGTCCAAGAGCGGTTCTGAACCACAGAATGTGGAAGACTAGACATAATCCTCTCCCCTCTTCTCACTTAAATATTTTTGAGACAAGGACTCACTATGTAGCCCTGGAACTCACTACATAGACCAGCTGACCTTGAAATCAGAGACCTGTTTGCCTCTGCCTCCCGAGTGCTGGTGGCACTCACCACCACGCGTGACTTCATTTTTAAAAATACACTACTGAGCAATAGATGAACTGGCAGGATCAATTTCGGCATATCAGAGGGTCCTGTGACAGGATTGCACTCTGGAAGAATCCTCACCATCTGACATAACAGCTCACACCACAATCCACGAGTTCAGACGACGACTCCCTGCTCAGGTTGGTTCACGTGGGAGATTCTGGGGAGTGGGTGTGAACGATACCCCTTCCTTTGCTAGGACTTGTCACCAATCATAGCTGACAGAGGCAAAGGGAGCCCCTGGGATAGGCTTCTGCCAGGCATTGGGTCCTGAGATTGTAAAGTGCCTAGTGTGTGGGTGCTGGCGAGCTATTAACATGGGCCTGGCCAAGACTCACAGCTCTGTCTGCAGCGGCCACCAAGAAGAGGGGGGGAGGAGGCAGAGGGAGGGACGTTCTATTCCTTTAGTATTGGAAGTTTCACTAGAAAACTCACCACCACTGCACAGAGGTTGTACTTAGGATGTTTCCGGAAAACTGGACAGATGTAAGGAGTGAGGTCCAGGTTGGTGAGTGGGTACCGGATATCTGCCCTCAGCTTCCTCTTCACGGAGCCCTGGATATCAAATCTGGAGAGATAACAAACGCATGAAATTCAAAGTGTGTAAGCCACGTGTGAATGAGGTCCGTGTCCCTAGACACATCCCACATACAGCCAGAGTAACTGTAGAGATGATTGGTACATAAATTACATCCTTACTGAAATATACTTAGAAATGCCAGACCACCACCAAAGTGAGTCAGCAAGAGACGGTGCAGCCTTCAGCAAGCCCTGCCTGGTGGGAGGAGGCAGGATGAGAGTCAGCCTGGAGACAGAAGCTGCACAGACCCCAGTCCAACCACCGCCACTTCTTTCTCTTCGCCTTCTCTCCCCTCCTGCTTCCTCCTCCCACCCCACCCCTCTCCCTAGAGTCTCGCTATGTAACCAGCATGCCTGCATGCTGCCATGCTTCCTGCCATGATGTTTAGGCGGAAGGAGGCCTCAGCAACCCCCCCCCCCCGCCTCCTCCCTGTCCAAACCCTGCCACTCAGAAAACTCACCAAGGGGCGCTCCTCCCCCTGAGATGCTCAAGACCACGGTATTTACGACCCAGACCTAAACCTGCCATGTGATTTCTCCTCTTTGCTCTGTTTATTAAACCTGGTCCTATTCATTTGGCTGGATTTGGCTTATTGCATTGGCAGGTAAACCTTCAGCCGGGGATTTCCAAAATAACATCAATGATGATAGACTAACCTCTGAACTGTAAGCCAGCTCCAATGAAATGTTTCCTTTATAAGAATTGCTATGGTCCTAGTGTCTCTTCACAGCCATAGACACCCTGAGACACCCGGTGACCTGGTCTAGCCAGGGATCATCCCCAGAAACATAAAGAGTTTTATAGACCAGATGTTCATGCTAATCAAAACAGAGACTTTATTTCCATTTGCCCAGAATGAAACAAGGCCAATGTCTACCAGCTCACTAGTTGAGAAATAACTGTACATTTACAAAAAGGATTAAAACACAGCAATGACAAGGATGTGCCGCATACATACACAGGCCACCTCAAAAGCATTGTATCAACCGAAAGGAGCCAAACTCAAAAGGCTAAAAGCAGCATGGTGTAGGGTGGTCAAAGAAAGGCAAAACCACAGGGACAAAAACAATTAGTAATTCCCTGGGGTGGGCGGTGGGAATGGGTCAGGGGTAAAGGCGATCGTCACACAAGCCTAAGGAGTGAGCTGAGTTTAGATTTCTGGCACCCATGTCAACACAGGAAGCATGTGGCCACCTACAACCTCAACACTTAAGGGGGCAGAGACCCCAGCACAAGCTAACTGGATGATCCAAATTGGTGGGCTCTGGGTTCACGCCAGAGACACTGCCTTACACATACATGGTCGAGGAAGACACCAGACATCAACCCTTGGCCTACACATGCATGGGGCCTCACACACAGGCATCCACATATTTTTTAAGTAATCCCTGGGCTTATGGCAAAGGGAGAGAACAGTGGTAAAGAACCACAGAGAATTTTCTCAATGGCAGGTGTTGTCCATACTTGGGTTGCAACAGATTGTAGAGTTTCATAGACAAAATACATTTATATGTGTAAATATATCTTTAAGAAATTCATTTACTTTAAAGTTTTATGCCCCTAAGTGTTTTCCCCTCGTGTATGTGTGTACACCACACGAGGGCCTATAGCTTCTGAAGGTCAGAATAGGGCCTCAGGTTCCCTGGTTTGAAGGGGCTGTGTGTCAAAGTGCACATGAGGAGATCAGAAGGCATCTTACAGGAGCTAGTTTTCTCCTCCTTCCATCGTGTGGATCCCAAAGGCCAAGCTTAGCTCATCAGGGGATGCCCACTGAGCTATCTCTCTGGCCTTCAACTTTATTTCCTAACATATTATCATAGCATGAGTGAGCGAGTTAAATGCTGTCTCACTTATATTAGTGATTGCTGGGAGAGGACCCGTCCATTGTGGGTGGTGCCACTTCTGGGCTGGTGGCCCTGGACTCTGTGAGAAAGTGATATCACCCACAATGGGCCGGGGCTCCCCCATCAATCAATCACTGATCAAGAAAATGCCCTTCAGGTGGTGGTGGCACCCAGGAGGCAGAGGCAGGCAGATCTCTGTGAGTTCAAGGCCAGTCTGATCCAGAGCTAGTTCCAGGACAGCTAGGACTGCACAGAGAAACACTGTGGAGAGAGAGAGAGAGAGAGAGAGAGAGAGAGAGAGAGAGAGAGAGAGAGAGAATGTCCTACAAACTTACCTACAGCCTGATCTTATGGAGGCATTTTCTTAATTGAGGGTCCCTCCTCTCAGATGACTCTAGCCTGTGTCAGGTTGAAAAACTGACTGGTACAATTATCCCTTGTCAGTCTGACACACAAGCATATCACTTATTAAACATCACCTTTTCATTCTTGCTGTCCCAATATCTCATATTAACATTACGATACAAAGCACATTACAGACTTCTCACCCGACCCCTTCCATCCTTGGGCTCCAGTTGCTACTGAGGCTGAACCTTCACCAATGGTCTCTCCCAGTCTTTTGCAGCTCTAAGCCTCAGCTGTTCTTCATGACCCCTTCATGGCTTCAAAACCAGTAGCACATGGGACTCCACACATAACCAAGTTCAGCTGCCGGCACAAGGTACAACCTCGGCCTGCTGTGGACCACAGCTTCTGCATGCTGACTCTAGGGAAACACTTCTCAAGTTTAGCCAGTGACACTGGTCTCTTCAGTCATTGCTTATTCCTCACACCCAGACAATCATCATCAATTGTCACAGTAAACAGAGGTTTCACTTCAGGGACCCTGGATCTTGTTATTCACAGCTGGTTTTTCAGTCCCAGCTGACCAGAACCACAAATATGCTATAGCTCTGAGTTTTTCAATAGCTTTCAAATTTCCCTCTGGAACTTCACAAGCCAGTCCTCTATGGTCTCCAGAGCTCTTATCTTCCAAAATCCTGCAGTACAGCCCACTGGGCTCTCAACACTCACTGGCTTTTCTAGCCCAAAGTTCCAAAGTCCCTCCACGGTCCTCCCCAACACAACTTGATCAAGTCTGTCACAGCAATACTCCAGTATCCTGGAAACAAGTCGGTCTCTGATGAAACATCATGACCAAAGCAACTGGGGAGGAGAGGGTTTACTTGGCTCACCTTTCTACATCTCAGTTCGTCATGGAAGGAAGTCAGAGCAGGAACCCGGAGGCAGGAGCTCATGCAGAGGCCACGGAGGGTGCTGCTTACTGGCTTGCTCTCCACGGTTTGCTCAGCCTGCTTTCTTCTAGAACCCAGGACCACCAGCCCTGAAGCAGCACCGCCCACAACAGGCTGGGCCCTCCCCATCAATCACTAATTTAAAAAATGCCCCACAGGCTTGCCTGCAACCTGACTGCTATGGAGGCATTTTCTCCACTCATCCTTTAGATGACTACAGCTTGTGTCAAGATGACATAAAACTAGGCGGCACAGTCACTCTAGTGAAAGAATAGGTAAATCTACACAGACAGAAAATACATTAGAGAAATAGGAACCATGGAGAAGGAGAAAGAGAAGGTGTGGCTTAGGGTACAGGGCTTCTGTTTGGGTATTGGAAAGTTCTGGAAAATGTGGTGACTGGCATTTAACATTGTAAAGGTAATAAATACAAATGGATTACACACTTGAAAAGATCAAAATGATAGATTTTATGTTGCATATATTTTATTACAAAATTTAAAAGGAACTACATATTAAATTGAAATCAATGAGTTCATGAATTGGACACTTTATTTTTCACTTCTCTGGCTCTGAGGATGAAACCCAGGGTACTTTGCAGCTTAAGCACCCACTCTGCCACTGATTTTAGAACAAGCTACATGTTAAATGGATAAACTATTAGCATGCAAATGGCATCTCAGTAAAACTGTTGAAAACCATCTGCCCACAAGATGTCAAAAATCCACATACCTTTTTAAGTGAAAAACAATTATTTTTGGCGCTTTGGAAATAGTGGCCCTCACAGCTGTTTCTTGCTTGATTTCACAAAAGGAACAATGGATTTGGTTGTTCCAGGTCAATGTGTCTTGTTGGAAAAAACACTGGAGACAGTCCTGTTGGGGGAAAGAACATTTGGTGACCTGGGATCCTGCTGACATTAGAAGGAAGCAGAAGATGGTTGTGTTTGTTCATAATCACAGCTTGTCGGCGGTACAGGAAGGAGGACTGTGGTTTAAGACCAGGCTTGCAATACAAGGAGACCCTGTCCCTCAAACACACACACACACACTGAAAGAGCTCTGTAAACGTGCTTGTGGGAGTGTTCCTAAGGAACAGACCCAGGAGTCATGCCCCATCACCACAGTCCTATAAAAATCTACCTAGCTGGGGCTGGTGGCTCCCACGTTTAATCCAGACACAGGAGGAACTCTTTAAGTCCAAGGCTAGCTTGTTCTACATAGCAAGTTCTAGGCCAGCCAGGGCTATACAGGGAGATCATGTCTCAAGAATAATAAATAAAACTCTACCTAGCAACAAGTGATGTTTTTTTCACTGAGCTGCTGACATGAGCTTAGGTTCTTTCCCCATAACTCTATGAATTATCACTTTAACTTTTCTGGTTTCTTTCAGAATAATGCAGACTTTGACATTCCTACTAACAAATCAGACAGCTGTTTTCTATTACAAATCTGCTGTCTCAACAAGGGAGGGAGGCTCTGAAAATCGACCGTGTCCCATGGTTTGCGTGACAATTGACAGTAGCCGACTTAAAGCGCACACGGAGGAGCTGATGTCTCCGGCCAGGCCCTGTTCCCGGAGTTCTTGGCTTAGAGGAGGAAGGGTACAAACTGTTCTCATCAGTTCTGCCAGTGCTCCATTCAAGGATCTGGAATTCTTTCCAGTAACCTTTAACCTTTCGATCTAAAGGAAAACAAACTGAGAAGCAATAAAGCTCTGTTCCCCAGCTACCCAGCTACAAAGACAAAACGCCAGCAGATGTTTTCACAATCGCGCGCAAAAAAAAAGTTTGCCAAATTCTGCAAGAAAAGTGTTCCCCAAGTCTTGATTGTCCCCAACCCCCAACCAGCCACTTCCTTCTTAGACCGTATCCATGTCACCCCACCTCCCTGCTTACAGGCTGGTTAATCAGAGAGGCTTACTAAGCCACCAGATTCCTCTCTGTTCCCATCCAACACAGCCCACAGCCTCCATCCAAAGTATAAGTCTAGAGTCAAAGGGGTGGGGGGATGGCTAAAGGGTTAAGAGCATTGGCTGCTCTTGCAGAGGATCCAGGTTCAGCACCCATGTGCTGGCTCACAACTGTTTGAACTGCAGTTCCAGGGGCTCTGACGCCCTCTTCTGGCATTCTTGGGCACCGAGCATGCACATGGTGCACATAAATGCATCCACGCACACTTGCATACACTATATAATAAAATAAGTTTTTTTTTGCTTTGTTTTGTTTTTTTAAGAGGCTGTTACAGCTAGTCCTGGCCTTACACTGGAGTGTGGAGGTGAGTCTTCATAGACATCACAAACTCCCCATCTAACGAGACTGAAGAAACTTCATCCATATTTATAATTTTAAGTGAGGCTTTGTCTTGAGTACATTTAGAAATACAACTAAATTCACAGCAACTATTAACAATAGGTTGCTTTCCCAAAATAAATAAATAAATAAATAAAATGCTGTTCATTCTTGGACTTCCTTTGTTTATATTTTTAAGGCATACAACAGCTGTCTCCTACTAAAATTGTAGGAAATAACAGTCATGACTAGAGTCGCAATATCTGAGAGACTCAGGCATGGTTACTTGAACCCAGGCTAGCCTGGATGACACAGCAAGAAAACCCTGTCTCCAAACAAGGAAATAGACTCAGGAACTAGGGACTCCCTACCTGAAGGGAGCACTCATATTCGGATGGGATGGGGAGGGAGAGGACAGTGAAAACTTCATTCTTGTAGGTGCAGTTCTCACACTTTAAGCATGTGATGCTGTAACTGAGCTGTCCTTCAAACAGCCGGGTGATGATTGACGTTTCACTGGCCATCACCTTCCGGTAGCATCTTTGAGCAGACCTTTTCTCGTATGCTCTTCTTCGACAGTGCTGTGTAAAGGAACAAATTCCTCTTGGTCATCTAGTGGCTACAAAAACCATGGAAAGCACAACAGCTGCTCTTTCTATTAGAATGGTACATTTCAACTAGAAAGCAGTTAGTTTGGATTCAGCCAGAACACTAAGGCCTTGACAGCATATGCCATGTGTGAGCTCTGATAACTCACCTATTTCCCTTTCTAGATGAAATGAAAGAATGATAATTGTCCTGGCAGGAAAAAAAAAGGGAGACATTTGTGTCCTCCTTTTGGCTATCAGAATACTAAAAATAATGGTCCTTGAGAAACTGGATTGCTGCTCTCACCACTGAATGAAGCCTGGTGTGTGTGGAGAAGGAGCCAGTCTCCCAGGAAGAGATTAAACAGTTAGTTGCAACAATTTATCAGACTATCCCACAAGAAAGATAGCCACCAAAACAATAATGGGTCAGTGATGTGTGGGGCTCACTTTGAACAGACTCTTAGTTATATACACTTCTAGACACCTATTTACACCTAAACCTCATGCCAGAGCCCTAAAGTTGACTCTGGGATCACCAAACGTCCAGTGTTACTGTCTCTAATTGTACTCCTGAAGAAGATGGGTGTTGACCCGAGATTGTTAAAGCTTTGACCCTTTAAAAGCGTTGATAACAATTTGGCAAGCCAGGCAGGCACTTGCAAGCAATGTGGCCCTCAGTGGAGAGGACAGAGGACAGATTCAACAAGCCCCACACTGCCCTTAGAACGATTTTCTGGGGGCATTTCTGATCTTTGGTTTCAGCCAGCGTGAGCTACTTTGCACCTGAATTTAGCAGAGAGCCCAGTGTTTAGACACTTTGTTCTGAACAAAGGTGACTTTCTCCTGGTCAGTTTGCTTCTGGTTGTCTTAGAGGCTTTTTTGAGCTGCTTGACTTCTATTGAACCACTTGGGCTATTAACCCCTTGAACGTCTGAGCAAATCTGGAGTACTGTTAGGCTACTGGGCATCTGTCATGCCAAGGAGAGCTGGCATGTGAGTATCTCAGATCTCTTCTGTAATTCCTGCACGTGGGGAGGGGGAGAGGCTGAAGCAGGAAGATTAGGAGTCAAATACCTGCCAGACAGGCACAGTAAGACTCTGTCTCAGAAAAAATTAAATAAAAATAAATATTAAAAAATAATTTAGGCGCCGGAGAGATGGTTCAGTGGTTAAGAGTACTGACTGCTCTTCCAGAGGACTTGGGTTCATTTCCCAAAACACACATGGTGGCTCTTAACTGTGTGTAATTCCAGTTCCAGGGGCTCTGATGCCCTCTTCTGGTTTCCATGGGAACTTGGCAAGTGTGCATATTAAATACAAATTTTAAAAATATTTTTAAGTTAAACAAAGAGAAGCAAACCAACCAACAAGCAACAAATATCCTAACATGCACATTTTTCTCAGGACCCCAGTACCCAGAGCTCTGCTATACTCAGTGGAGAGCAGGCCATGAAGATAGAGCACACACATGCACACATGCACAGACAGACAGGCAGGCAGGCAGACAGACAGACAGACACACACACACACACACACACACACACACACACACACACACGAAAGCAGATATTTCTGATAACGGTGCACATCTCCCAGCTCAAGGCAGTTCCTTCTTACTTTCTTCAAAGCTTCATGAAGTTCATTAAGGACGTAAATCAGGAACTCCTGAGCATCTTGCTGTGTCTTTTTCAGGAAAGCTGGGTAAAGGCTGCCAAGAGCCGACAGAAATATCTCTGGTGAGACGCAGTCTGAGTCCCCAAGCCACATGTCTGTCATCAGGTAGGCAAAGGCGGTGGTGACCTCACTGCAGTCCCTGTCAAGAAGAGAGGGGCAAGGAGCAAATATTCCCTGCTGATTTAATGAAAAGCAGAGCCTTAGTGGTAGGAGCACAGGACCAGCCCATGCCACTGTGCCACTTCTGCCTGTCCACCCTGTCCCGCTCAGCCGTGATTTGTTATGGAGGGCCCCACAGTGCCTGGGCTTGTACAGCCCTCCACAAGGACTCCATCCCCACCCTGGGGGAACTGGGGTGGGGCAGAGCTCAGTGGAGAATGCCTCTTACTTCTGAAGAGAGGTGATGTACTTTCCGGAGAGGAAATACTCCACCAGTGGAGATATGCTGCACAGGCACTGCAAGATGGCGTTCATGTAGCAGGTGTTGCCCAGGTTGCGCAGTCCCGTCACGCCCTGGAAGTGTAGCTGGGTCTCAAACTCTGGAAGGGAGTCATAATCTGCACACTCCGAACTGTGTGGGCCATATGGAAGGAAAGTGTTTGCAGGGAAGAGGGTAAGTGCAAGTGACAGAGAGGCCCTCTCAGCTTAGGAAATAAGATCTCTTGTGCAGCTCAGAGGCAAGGCCTTGTAACCTAGGCAGTCTTGGAACCGACAGTGCCCCTGTTCCACATCTCAGCTACCTGCCACCAGCTTGGCAAGAAATGGGTTTTGTTTGTTTTGCTTTGAGATAGGGTCTCTCTATATAAACCAGGTTAGCCCAGAATTGGCTATGTAGACCAGGCTGGCCTTGAACTCAAAGCAATCCCCTAGCCTCTGCCTCCTGAGTCCTAGGGTTAAGGATATGCACTGCTATGGCTGGCTAGGGAGGGTTCCTAATGAGTTTCCTTTCAAACTTTCCACCAAGGACCGCAGGGTTTTAACTTGGTGTCTAAAACTGCACCACATAGCCTGGAACTCTGAGCAAGGGTCTGACATAGTTTTCTTCCCAAAACTACAGTAAAGGATGGAGCAGAGCAGCCTTCCAGGTCCTAGCGCTGCCTGACTGAAAACACAAACCTTCCTTTAAAAACCACAGCCCGAGCCAGGCAGTGGTGGCACATGCCTTTAATCCTGGCACTCTGGAGGTGGAGGCAGGCCTATCTCTGTGAGTTCAAGGCCAGCCTGGTCTACAGAGCTAGTTCCAAGGCAGCCAGGGCTACACAGAGAAACCCTGTCTCTAATCCCACCCCCCCAAAAAAAGCCCAAAGCTTGTCCTTTTTCTGGATAATTCAATTATTGGTAAGAATAACACTATTTAAAGATAACAGTAACGTCCATGGATATCTTGCACTTAGTCTATGTTAAGTACTTAATATACATTCCCCATTAAATACTTGTAACAGCCATTCAGAGTACAAACAGTTCTTCTAAAATCCCATTTACAGATATGATAACAGGCTTACATGAATTAGTCATTTGCCCATAGCAGTATACCAAGGGGAAGTATAGTGATGCAGAAGAAATAAAAATGTTTATCTATCTCATCTATTATTTGGAATTACAGCATATACCGAGAATGTATATAAGTATATTGGTACCATACTGAGAACATGATACGTACACATAGTAGGAACATATACATTCATGTTAAGAGCACAAATGTGTATATATACATACAGATCTGTACATATATGCACACATGTACATATACACACATGTACAGAGGAAAGGCAAAAGAAAATAGACTCAAATTATTACTATGCTAATAACTAGTTATTATATATTTATCATATGGGTTCTTTTGTTGTTGGTTTGGTTTGCTTTTTTCAAGACAGGTTTTCTCTGTATTGTTTTAGAGCCTGTCCTGGAACTTGTTCTGTAGACCAGGCTGGCCTTGAACTCACAGAGATCCACCTGCTTCTGCCCCTTGAGTGCTGGAATTAAAGGCTTGTGCCTCCACTGCCCAGTTGTGATGTGGGTTTCTTATGCCTGCTCATTTATAGAATATAATCAATGAGTCTGGTAGTGTGCCTAACATGTGTGAGGCTCTGGGGTCTGTCCCCAACACCCGCTCCCCGACAAGCACAAGGGATACTCTACCTCCTTATGGGGTTGTTGCAAAGGTTATAGAGGTACCATACTAGGAATTTAGCCTAGATTACACAGTGAATGATATACTTTAAAAGAAAACTGGGGGCTGGAGAGATGGCTCGGCAGTTAAGAGCACTTGCTGCTCTTTCAGAGGACCCTGGCTCATTTCCCAGCACCCACATGGTGTTCCACCGCAACTATCTAACTCCAGTCCCAGGGGCTCTAGTGCCCTCTTCTGGCCTCCAAGGGCACTGCTTTGTCACACTTACATGCTGGCACCACTTTCATACACATAAAATATTTTTGTATTCTAAGACAAGATTTCTCCATATAACATTCCTGGCTGCCCTAAAACTCTCTGTAGACCAGGCTGGCCTCAAACTCACAGAGATCCCCCTGCCTCTGCATCCCTAGTGCTGGGATTAAGGCGTCACCACCACCACCCCACCCCACCCCATCCCACCCGGCAATAACAATAAATCTTAAACAAAATACAATGACTTATTTAGGACGGCTTAATGGTAAGAGATGAGATTGGAACGTCTGCCCGGCGTGCTGAGATGAGAGGCACTGCAGGCTCCAGGAGGCCTCCTTTCCCTGCCCAGCTTCCTTTTATTATGTGGCCTATTTCAGTCGGGTCACTTAACACCTTTGTCCTTTATGATCTTTCTTTCCATGTCCTGAATCTAAATTGGTGTCCCAGGTACGGCAGTCTCTCTCGGTACCTCTGCTCACAGTTACACCCATCTGAAAAATGCCCACTGGTACATGGAGGGTCATTTTCATTTTTACTCACTGATGTCACAGAGACCCTGGACTGACTGCTTAGGAAGTACATGTATGTTACCTCTTTGGGGTCCTTCATGGGGCAAATCCTGCAGGGCCCTCCCAAATACAACATTTGCCCCAGCTCCTCTGAGTAGGCTCTTCCCCATCCCTCTGGTTACGTATAAAGGCACACATAGAGGCTCACAGAGCATAGTAGACGCGGAGGTCATCTGAAGGGAAGGGCCGTTGAGAAGTCATTTTAATGGGAGCACGTTGGATTTTTCACTTCCACTCAGGAGCTAAGTTTGATCCTTTTAACTTCATTTCTCCCAGACTGTTTCCCTGGTTTTGTTTTTGTTTTGTTTTGAAAGCTCTCCCCCTCCCCCTTGTGGTTGCTGCAGACTGATTTCACCCGACTCAGGCCTGCTCCGACTCGGGTCTCCTTGCATCACAATTGTTTCCCTTCACGCCAAGGTTCTAGTGTGTTGTCGAGGGACACCGGCATTTGTCAATGTTCTCAGGATGAACTGTCCATGTCACTGCTCTTCCTGCATTGCTCCGTTTCCTCCTGGGTGTGTGTATGCCAGGCACAAGCACACACAGTGGTGCTCGTCCCCTGGATTAGTGGACGCTATAGCAACTCTGCCCTCCCCCCACCTCCGGCCCTTGGCAGAGCATCTCTCACCCTATGAAGGCAGGCAGATTTTCTGAATCCAGTGCACACTGGCTGCAGTGGGGCTGCACCAGGAGTACTCCTTGGGAAGAGACACACAGACACATTACCTGTAGTACACAGGTATATTATAAGATTTACAAGCTATGACCTCTTAGCTCAGGTTATTCCCAGGGACATGTGCTTCAGACCAGGGAAGAGGACAGCATCCTCACTCAAGCAAGCACGTGGCTGTGACTTGGGAAAGCATCTGTGCTGGGGCCCTTGGTGCTGCTGGCCTGCTCTTCCCTGAGCAGATCTACCAAGGCAGCCAATAACAGCGAATATGGATGAGGGGAATGGGAGGCACATATGACTCAAGACAGCCATCCCTAAAAACATACCCAAATATGAGCGACAGCTTATGGAAGCTGGACTCCAGGAGCATATTCAACAGGTCTTTCAATTATAAGCCACACACTATACCTTCCCCACCCCTGCACAATGGCTAAGAAACATCAATTATATCCACTATAACCCTTGCTGTGTGTGAATTAGAATTCACACCCATGATCCCAACTCCAAACCTTTCCAGATTTATTCTAGTTTTTTCCTCATATTTCACTGATGCATGGGACTTGCCTGCCATTCCACTTCCCAGAGCATGATACTCTTGACCCAGCTGCACACCAGGGTACTGCCCCACGGCATGCTCTTACCTCACTCGGCTCACACTAAGTTACAGGAAGATGCAGCTGGCTCTTCATTGTTCCTTCTCTCTTCGGTGGTTTGTTTTTAATCTGCTCCTCTTTATTTCTTTTTGTTTTCTAGTTACCTGAAAGTTGTGCGGTATTTTCAAAATCTACTTCCATGTACTTTAGATATTCTGACAATATGAAAGTGTGGTCTATGTCCTTTTAATATATTTATATGACTAAAGTTGAGTAGAAAGGGTAACTATATTATTTTTAAGCTCTGGGTGATAAATAACAAATTTGTGTGAACATTTATATTAAATCTACTTAATATCTCCTGGTGAGGCTGGGAAGTAAGTTCAATGTGACATCGTAACAAACGAAACTGCTGTCTTGGCAGCTGTCTCCTGTGAGACTCTCCTGTGCAGTTAAACATCCTTGAAGCTGCAACTCTGGCTCTCCCTGATGTATTAGGAATTAAAGCGCCAGGCACTTTGGCACAGTTACAAAGCACCTATTTACATTGTGGTTTTGACAGCCCTTTTCTTGTAGGCTTTTCTAGAATAACACAGGGAAATTTATAAGAAAAGGAGAGATCAAGTGCATGACGTTTGGGGAGGACACTTCACTCCTATAATTATGAAATTCATTTCACAAATATTGACAAAACCTTGTAAAATCCCCAGCACATAATCCAGTCGGCCGACCCCTTCCTGCTCAGTCCCCTCCATCTCACTGGGTTGTTAAATTTAAATCATAGCTGAATTATTTACTTCAAGGAGACAAAGAGAAATCTCTAGTAAGAGACTCTAGTAAGTGTGAAATCTAGGAGAGTGAGGTTTGCCCATACTTAAAATAATTTTCACTGGGTGCAATTTTGAGATCAGTGGGACCTTTCTCCACCCAGATAGACGTGATCCAATACTTGGGGTTCCAGAAACTCAACACCCATCAAAAGTTAACTCAAGGCTGTGGCTCTTGAATTCATTCACAATGACAAAGATTAAACATGCAAAGTGAAAGCATTCTTTCTTGGGAGAAATCAAAGAAAAGTGAGAAACCAGGGAAGAGTAAGTGGAAGGGCTTCTAAGAATGGAATATACATTGAACTGGTTGGTTGTCTAAGGCCTTTTTATAGGGTTTAGAGTAGAAACTGGAAACACTGAGAATCTTTCTGGGCACACCCCTTTAATCCCAGCACTTGGGAAGCAAAGGCAGGTGGATCTCTGAGTTCAAAGCCAGCGGTCTGCAGAGCGAGACACAGCCAGGGCTACATTGAGAAATCCTGTCTCAAAAACAGAGAATCCTATTGCAATTGGTTGACTCTCTGCACACATCAATTAGACCAATTAAAGGTGTACATACTCTGTGCATGCACTTCTGGCCCACTCAGAAAGGGGCATGGTCACCTCTGAAGCCCTCTGTTCATCTCTGATTTGCTTTGTTGCATTTGGCTAGTTTGTTGGCTGTTAGTCTGGCCCTGCATTACCAGCTCTGCTAACCTTGCAGATGTTGCTGATCTGACCTGGATGGGGTCTGTGAGTGTTCATTAGTTCTCTTGGCTCTCATGTGTTTTAGCATAGTGGGAAGTGACTCCTATCAGTTACCAAGACGTAGCCACAGTCCTTTTTGATTACCACACACTAGCTCCTTGTCTATGGGGTGGTGTCCTCTGGACGTTTCTTGGTAGAAGCTGTCTTCACCTAAGTTCAGTCTGTTACATTTAGTGGCATTACAAGCAAAGATTTGAAAGCACCATCTTCCAGAGCTTCATGGAGCTGCCCACCCAACCTGCAAACATCAACTTGCTTCCCAGATGTAGGGTAAAAGGGACCAAGGAAGAAACACCCTGTCCCTGACTAGATCCAAGACTGGACCCTGACTTGACCCCAGACCAAGGCTTGAAAATCCACCAATCTCGAGCTTGCCCCAGAGTTAAGTTGTAGAATTTCACCAATCCCTGAGCACAGAATCCCATCAATTCCTGAGCACGAAAACCCACTAATCCCTGGGCTTGCCTCAGAACCAGGCTACAAAGCCCCACCAATCCCAAGCCACCCAAGAAATCCTATATAAGGTCTGTACCCTATTTAGTTTGCCACTGTTTCTCACAAAAGGCAGCCACCCTTTGGGTGTGGTCTGTTAATATTTTCGTGGGAGAGAAGCCCACTGTAACAACTTTCAAGGGAGCAGATCAGAGAAGAGCTTCATTGGGGAAACCCTTCCTTGCCACAGCAGAGTTGCTACACTTGCACTGGGGAAATCTTTCCCTGGAGCAGAGTTGTAAGGTGTTATAGTTATGGTGACTTTGTGGTATTCCTTGGTGCCCAACTACCAGGATACCTTTATATCCAAGCTGCAATGATTACACCAGAGTCCCTGGTTTTCCTGTCTCATATCCAGCTGTAAGCCATCACCACTCCCTTCCTCAATGTTACTAACCCTAGTTTCCATCTCTGTGCCCCTCAGCACTGTGGTTACAGATGATTGTGCAATCCCAACCAGTTTGCTCAGTAAGCACTCTTACTTGCTAAGACATCTCCCCAGCCCTTCCCTCCCTCCTTTTTGAGAGGTCTCACTATGCAGCCCAGGCTGGCTTTGAACTCATGAGCCTTCTGCCTCTACCTACTAAGTGCTGATATTACAGGTTTAAAATACAAGTAACTATTCACATTATAACTTATGGTTTTTGACAGTTTGGATGTCAGTACTGATTTCCACCTCTTACATATTTCCATTATTTAGACTTAAATTTTTTTTTTCAATTTAAGCTTTGCTGACATGTATATATGTGTACCATGTGTGTGCTTGGTGTCCTCAAAATCCAAACAGGGTGTCAGATGTGCTGGAATTGAGCTTATGGGTGGTTGTGAGCCACTATGCAGGTGGTGGGAACCAAACCTGGATCCTCTGCAAGAGTAACCAGTGTTCTTTTAAATTAATGTGTGCCAGTTATAAGATATTTATACACTGTGTGAAGGTGTAATACACTGTGATTGGTGTAATAAAAAGCTAAACAGCCGATAGGCAGGGAAAATAGGCAGGACTACCTGGCAAAGAGGAACTGGTGATGAATCTAGGCACACAGAGGGATGCCAGAGGAAGCAGGATGGGCCGAACATGGAAACATATAGATTAATAGAAATGGGTTAAGTTATAGGAGATAGTTGAAAATAAGTCTGAGGTCAAGCTTTCATATTAATAAGTCTCCATGTGTTACTTGAGGATTGGTGGTACAGAGAGAGACTAGATATAGCCAATGTTTTGTCTGTACATGCTTTGTGCACATGTGTGCCTGTGGAGCCCAGAAGAGGGAAGAGGATCCTCTGGAACTAGATTTACAGATGTTGTGAACCACCATATGGGTGCTCACATGTGGGTCCTCTGGGACAGCACCAGTGACCACTGAGCCATCGCTCCTGCCCAATTTAGACTTTAAAAAAAAATTCAAATTAGGCTTCTTAAAAGGATATTTTTATGTTGCTTGTATTGATTTTTGGCCCTTTCGTCCAGTGCTGGGTAGAACCTAGGGCTTCCTGTATGTATATGCTAGTCAAATGTTCTACCTAATCTTTTCCCTAGTTTTACTCTTAAAGTTTAAACCAAAAAATGCCATAAAAAGTTGAGTTCTGGGAGATGGCTCAGTTAGTAAAGTACTTGCCATGCAATCATGAGCCCCTGAGTTCTATCCCAGAACCCATCAGAGGACCAGATTGTGGTGATGAGTACAATCATTGTGTTAAGAAAGCAGATACATGAGGATCCCTGGGGCTTGCCAGACAGCCAATCTTGTCTACTCACCAAGCTCAAGAGACCCTGCCTCTACAATCAAGGTGGATGGCTCCTGGGGAAATGTCTGAGATTGACCTGTGGCCTCCACCAACACATATCCACATACACAGATATCAAAGAGAAATCAGGGCTGGAGAAATGGCTCAGTACTTAAAGAGTGCTGGCTGCTCTTGCAGAGGACCCAGGTTCTATTTTCATCACGCACAGGCTGTTCACAGCTGTATGTGACTCCAGCTCCAGGGGATCCAACACCCTCTTCTAGCC